TTACTGAGTTTTGCCACTTTGTTGATGCTGTATATTTGAGGCAGTATCTATGCTTTTACATATCTCAAAAGATTAAGGGCCTGGAATCACATCCTTGCTTGGTTTGAACTGGCAAATTTTCTTGACTTCACTAGAATTAGTTAGATTTAGACTAGCGATGAGCCTATACGCATATTTGCAGATGAGGTACTGGTAATCCATATGATAGTCATTGCAGAATGGAATGAAAGGATACAACATCTTATGGAAAGCTAGAGCTCTGCATTTAGTTGAGGCTGCAGTAGGCAAACTTTCAAAGAACTCTCTAATTGTAACAAAACAGAGTAAAAAAATTGCCTTTCAGCAACTGAATAAACATTTGAGATCATTACTGGAAACAGTACAGGCATTGTTGTGTTGGTACTTTATTGGTGAATGAAACTTTATTTAGTGAAGCCTGAAGATCAACATGCTGACAGCGCGTGTCTGCGTGTGCCCACGCGTATAAACTATTTCTTACCTTTAAATAAAGGTATTTCAGCTTTGCTTTTGTGGTTTCAAGGTGCTAACTGAAAAGCGAAACTCAGAGTACTACAACATTTGTTCTTCTGCTACTCCAGGAGCCTACTTTGAGTTAATCGGTGATTTTTCACAGACGACGTCTAATCTATAAGTATAAATTGCTTTGCACTCTTATTATGCCTTAATTGAAGTGCACCAATGTGAAATTGCAACGGATGGAGCTGCAGTGATTCTAGACTCAATTAACTTTGGGTGGATTTGAGGCTTTTTTCCTTCCTTTTCCTTGGACTAAGGATGATTCTTTGACATCTTGTATTTATTTAATTTTTTTCTAGAAAATTTAGGGGAGACGCATATGACCAGGTATTTTACTGCTCTGAAGAGATACACAGGAGTTACGTGTACGATTTATATACTAATATATATCTTTTATGTCCTACTGTTTTGTGTAACACTTGTACAGTCAGCAGTGGCGAAAGCCCTCAGGATTCTGCTGGGGAGGAATAGTTTAAGAGCAATCTTTGGTTTTTTGGGGGGTGGGGTAAATATCAGTTACCATCTCTGTAACAACTCCTCTCATCCCATTCTTGACTTTTCTTCAGCTCCCTGTCTTTGAGACACACTATGTATGTTGCAGTGTAGTAAAGTCATTGTGAAGAGGTAAAGCATCTTGCCCTATGGAACAGGAAATTCAGACACAGCAGACAGCAAGGATTGTACTAGGAGAGGTAGGATGCTGTCTAAGAAAGGAACAGGCATATGGTGATCCAGTTAATTCTTAGTGACTTCACATTTTACCAGAACTGATAGATATTTACCAGAAAATTAGATTTGATGCTTCTGTCTAGGCATATATGCTCTTACAAATGTTTCTGGCTTTCAGTTAATAGCAATGAAAATAAGTCCATGTGTGAAGATAGTTGTTTGCAACATATTTTTGTTACGGGCCTCTCAAAGTTTTCCCTGGTGGCTCAAACAGTCATAAAGTACATTTGTGTTTGCTCTTAACTGGTTGGCTTTTCTTTGTGATCTTTGGCCCCTGAGAAGGAGCCCACAGACTTTTAGAGGTTGGACAAGTCCTTTTCTCTGGGTATGAATAGATTCAGTATCTCTGCCGTCATAAGCACAAATGGTAGCTGCAATAATGAGCCGTGATGTATAACCTGATGTGATATAATCATGGTGGTGGTGCAGTGTGCTCCAACATGCCTCACTTTACAATTCAAACCAAAATTGGGTTGCTGCTTTTTCTACTTACTTTTTTATTTTTTATTTTTCATCTGAAGTTATTCTTACGTGCAGGCTAAGATAGCCACAAATACAGTGTCTTCAGTGAGACAAATATGCCTCTAGGTCTTTAAGGGACAGAGCAGGATGTCATCTTTCCGATCACTATGCTACCGCTAGTATTGTGTTACAGCAAGGAAACAGACGTGGATGCCACAGGTAAGTCAAGGAGTTGGTCAACCAGATAGCGTCTGTAGAGAGCGTGGCAGATTGTTATCACAGGGGTAAAAATATTGCCAGGTATTCCCGAGGATTTGTCAAGCGATAAACTGATTGTGTGTCCCCAAGTATATTTCAAAGAGTATAGTGGACACATATATAAATTCACATGAATAGCAGAACTCCAAGAATAACGTTGATACTGATAAAATAAGATTAAGCTTTGCAAAAAGAGAAGAGGAAAGGGAGAGGAAGAGAGAAAGAAGGCTTTTCTCAGGCTTTCTCAAAACTTATTTAAATTCCCAGTACATTTAAAGGATCCGTTCGCGCTGATCAGGCTACAGAAGTCGGATCTTGATTATGTAAAAGTCTCATATGTTTTTTAACTTATGCTTCCAAAAGCCAGAAAGCATTTTTGTGATGAGCTGGTATGACCTCTACCTGTATTATACTGTTCATAAAACTTCCCTGAATTAAATCTTATCTGAACAGTGACATATTTTTAGAAAGCTTCTAGTTCTGATTTAAAAATGCAAGTGATGACATACTGAATGCAGTTCTTGGTAAATTGGTCCAATAGTTAATCTTTTCTATTTATTTTCAAATAAGGAGATTTGAGTTCACAGTAAATTAGCACCATAATTTCTGTGTTCTGATTGAAAGATTGCACTTTCAAATAGCTGCTAGGCTTCTAACTAGTGATTTGCATATACAGTTTTACATGAAGATTTCTGAGTTCCCTTTCATCAGCTCATAGAATATATATTAGCATTGATTGGACCCTCATTGCAAATCTCAACACTGTGGAGAAGTATCAAAAATTATGGTGCTGTCCCTCTCAGTGGAACTCATAATTATGATTTTTTTATTTCTAAAATATGAATTTTCCCTCCTTGTGAAATTAAACCCATCCTTTCTCTCATCCACACGCATATTCAAAATTCTGAAAAACTGAGTGGTATTACTGAAAACATATACTAATACACAACCAGAGTGACCATTATAAAGCAAAGACGATTTCCAGACCTAAGTTAGAAAAAGTGTTCTCTGGCATGTAACAATCAATTAAAATGTACTGCCTAAAAGATGTTTTTGAAATCTGAATCTGAACTACATGTAGTTCTAAGTTGCTGCACATATTAAACAGCTCATTATATACCAAAAATTTCTCAAATATATTGGATAGAAAAATCGTCAAGTACCATTTGGGCTATCTTGAGATAATGAACTCATTTTTGCCCAAATCTTGAAGGAAAACAGAAAGGAGACTTTTTTATGGGGTCAATTTTGATTTTTTAAAGGCTTGCACATTAAGAACATTGATATTTGTTAACTCTCCACTAACACATTTTTCCAGGTTTGTAGCTGCTGCCTTTAATTGTATCATCTAAAGTTAAAAGTGATGGCATATTGCATGAAAGACCAGCATATCTTAATGCCTTGTTTCTGATCTTGCTACTGAAAACGGGGATGCTGAAAGACCATAGTAAAGGAGAGATATTTGATGCAATGTGCCGTGGGCTACTTAATTTTGCATATTGCACTACTTGAAGTAAGTAGGACTGGAACAGCTGTGCACTCAATCCTGGTGAAGACAAGAATCTCTCCCTTGGGGCATCGCTTTCTTCTGCCAAGCAGGAAAGTCAAATGATGGCTTTGCCTATGGACTTTTCTGTTCTCCCATGTAGTCTTTCCTTAGCATTTGGGCTTTGGCTGAGTATATTTGAAAGGATCACTATGTGTTCGACTTTTATTATTCCACACTTTATCCTATAATAAGATTTGGGTTTGCCCATGCTGTCTTTTGGAGACTATTGATTTATTTGTATTCGTGTTGAAGTTCTCAAAGATGGTGGTTCATAAGAGCATCGCTATTGTATTAGTAATACAGCATTGTTCATTTCCTGTGAAAAGTTTGCATGCAGCTTAAAAATACTTTAAGCTAAAAGTTGTGTCACCCTGGAGCATGACTCAGCCGTGTACTAACAACTATAATTTTTACCTTGTGGAAGGCATTTAAGCAGATGTTCTCTGCTGGCAGCAAAATTGCTTATTTTTTCAAAGATGAAAATATTCACAGATATCTGCTCTTTTCTATAGAAAACTCCATCTTTTTTTCTGTATTCTTAAAGAAGAGGAAACAATCAAATCAAATGTACTCCAGCTGCTTTTTGCGTCCACCTATGCCAAATGTCATTCAACACTTCTTAAGGCTTACTTCTACTTTCGGATATGTGTCAGCACATATCACTTAAAATCCTGTAAAATTAGTTTCTGCAGCTGTATTTCTGAGACTAGACTGGCCGCCTCCTTTTCTTTTTTCCTTTTGCAGTGTATCCAGAAATCACTATGAAAGATCACTTCTAGCGGACTAGCCCTATTGCTTATATAACTCTTTTGAAGCATCTCTGAGATTGTTATCAGACTTTCATTTGACTTTTCAGTAAAGATCATCTGTAATAAGCTACTCTAGAGCTGATCTCTCGGGTGATGATTTGGGACCGGTGATGTTGTACTTGAGTAGAGGTCTGTCGAGCAAGAGGGCAGATGAAGCCCCTTTTATCCGTGCTCCCTGCGCTGAAGCCAAATCGTTGGCTGCAAGAACTGCCTGCAGAGCACAGATGAGTTTACACTTCCCACCCTGACACCAACTCTGCCGCACGGGCTTGGAGAATTGCTTCTGTGAAACTTGTCTCTGCAGGTGACAGTACTGTAACAAACATCTGACTTTGTGTATTCGCACCATTGCCCCGTGTCTGAGACGCCTGCCACGCGCTGCGGGAGCTGCGACCCGCTAACCGGCCACGCTTGACACGTGGGCTGGGAGAGCTGGAGAGAAACAACACCGTGCCGTGAACAGCACCGTGCTGTGCCAGAGGAACCGGCCGGCTCGGTACTTTACAAACAAACATTGACCTGCTTCATCGTGTGGGCCTGCCCCATGCCATGACCCCGTGTGCAAGCATGGGATTGTCACAGGGACTGATGCAGGAAGGTCTCACACGTAGAAAATACCCAGAATTTGAGAGACTGCCCATAACTGTCCCGACACGATGGACAAGGCAGAATGGAAAATAACCGTTGACCACGTGAAGAAGAGGCAGCTAAAGATTTTGAAAGCATTCTTAGACTTTTATCATCTCTTTAGTGAAACTTTAAAGGCAAAGAGAGCCACCCTCTTCTCACAGCCTTCAGAGAACGCTAGAAATTATAATCTCAGACTGTTTTAACATCTACGGCATGCTTGCCAAGAATATCACAGTAAATCTAAGCAACTTCCTTCCTTCTGTAATGGTTGAGGATAATCCTTCCAGAATAGGAAAAAATCTGGCTTCATCCAGACTTTTTTGTTAAAGGACTTTGATATAGACTGTGAAAGAGGACCTGTGTTTTGGAAAAAGGCGGAAGGTTAGCCTGGTTTGGGCTGCATTGTACCCGGTGAAGCCGTGCCAATCCATCTTTTACAATGGCATAAAGTGCTCTGGTGTGAGACTCTTCACTCTTTCGCAATCTGCATCTATACTAGCAGTTTGCTGTAATGCATCAGCGCTGGCAAGTGACAGATGCCAGCCTGGAACAGCTGTAAGGGACTTCTGTAGCTTGCAGCGTTCAGTTTGGTTAGCCTCTCACGGGAAAAGAAATTACGTAAAATGCAAGGAGGTGAAAACTTCCCTTGTTTCAAAGAGCCACAAGGGAAGCCCAGCATTTTTGAAGGCTTCGGCCACTTCACTAATATTAATTCGAAGGATTTGGTACTCTGGGAGGACTGTTAAAAATTCCAGCAGCGAAATAGCAATGCTAAAAAGCATGTCCAAGTTTACACATCAGAACACACTCTTCTCCATGTATACTTTCAAAATGCCAAAGGATATAGTTACAAGTTCTTATATTTACTGATGCAATTCTGTAAATTGTTTACTTTGGTGAAATGAATGGGAATTTCCAAAGACTAACTGCTGGGGCAATGGTACTGGCCAGTGACGTTGGTACTGTTGGTATTTTTAAGCCATTCTACCTCACAGATGCAGCACTTCAGGGTTTGGTAAGTTAATGAATTACTGCAGCTGTTTCACACTGTTTGCGCTACGGTTTATTGTTCATACACTTAACCTTGAGGTACTGTTCTTACAGTAACACCGCTTAATTAAGACAGTTAAAATAGTTGAGCTGTTTCCTAGTTTTTTTCCCAAGTGACTGAGGTTATGTGAATAGTGGGAACAACTACTCAGAAAACACTTTTCAGTTTCTGAGGCGGTTTTTAAGTCAGACGTATTGTCCAGGCCTATTGAATGGATGGATTTTCATTCTGTAGGAGAGTCTTTGTTGTTGTTTTTTTTTTTAAAAACAAACAAACAAACAAACAAAAAAAGTTCCACAGCCCTAGAACATTTGCAATGAAACCAGCCTCATATCAGAACCTTTCCTGGCCGCCCCCACCACTTCGATCAGTGTTATATGGCACATGCAGCTCTTTTGGTAGTCACAAGAGAAATGCAAGCCTAACACATCCCAAAACAGAGTTGTGGGCTAAAAAAGTCAGTGCAGGCTATTTGTGTGGAAGATACTTGTCCTTAATTTATAAAGTTTATGGTATGATATCAGAAAATACAAGTTTTCGAACAATTTATGCGACCAGTTAAGTAACCTTACTATGTGAAAAGTGAATAGTTTGCAAATATATGCATATAATGTATAAAATCATACTTTGGGTGGGGAGGGACCTTTAAAGGTCATCTAGTCCAACCTCCGTGCAATGAGCAGGGACAGCTTTGACTAGATCAGGTTGCTCAGAGCCCCGTCCAACCTGACGATGTACATCTGATAACAAATATTTTGCAATAGAACATTTGTCTTCTAATTGTTTAAAAGTACAGTGTTTCCACCTGCAAAGATTCTGACATATTAATTATAAATAAAATTAAAATAAAACCTGTATATAAATGCAATGTTTCACGTATCTGAAACAGCCCGGAAAGAGCATATAATGATGTAGCATGATACTTTGCACATCTCATGGAGTTAAGCTAAAATCTTGCACTTCTGAAATCATTAATCTTATTACTAATAGGTATGTGGTAGAAAGCTACAGAAACAGATGAGTACTTTGCTATGTTGCAATTACTTTTTTCTATATTAAATTAATTTGATACAAAACTCCTGATTGAGCAGCATTTTCAGAACACTTGCTTATCTGATTCTCAAGCAAAGGTATATTGCAGATGTCTAAGAAGGAGTATTTTTCTTGTACTGAATAGTTTATATTCTCCTACATCTTCCTTATGGGAGTTCCTAGTTCTTTTAGTCACCTTACCCCTTATCCATTACTAAAATATGCTATTAATATTAGGATGTGCTGGTCAGCAAAGCGAGGAACAGTATCCTCTTCTTCATGAATATCACATACACATTAATGTTCACAGTGCTGCTGCCCACGTAATTCATTCAGATTAGTTAGCTGCTGTGGATTCAGAGAGATGTCTACGATGAAAACAAATGTGCTCTTTAAGTTTAACCAGATTGCTTAAAATTTGCTTATCTTGCTCACATTTCTAACTGAGTAGGTATAGTTTAAAGGGCAATTGAAATTTTCTGTAGATGGCAATTACTATTCAATATTAATAGAGAGTGTCAAACTAAAGTCCTAACCAAGGAACTTGCGATCCAGAGAGAATATAAATTCTTCCCTCAAAATATGTCCTGTATTCTTCTGCTATGCATTGATGCATTTATACTTGTACAATTTAACATTTGCTTTTAACAAAATAAAAGGTGACATTTGATTGCATAGGGAATTGTAACTGGAAACATAGCTAAATTATTATAACGCATGCCTGAACAGGTGGGTAAGATAAGTGGTACCGCTTTCAGTAGCATAGCTCTTTGAAAAAAACCCTTTAAGCTCATCAGACCAGTGTTTATAAGCTTTTGTGTTTTATTTTTAGAGTAGCATTTGTTGCTGTGTATTTTCTTACGGGCAGATTTAGTTATTTTTTTTGCCCAACAAGACATTCAGCCCCTTCTTTTCACCCAGACACGAAGGTTGCTGGTTATGAAACGCTCAGATGGACAGAACTCACCAGAGAGAAGGTTTGGTTCTTTCTTACGTATTCACCAGCCTGCACCTAGTCTTTTGCTGCATCAGGTTGTAGCAGTCCCGTACATGAGGAAAAAAAATCCGTCTTGGCCTTCCCCTCTGTGTTAATATGAATGTTCAAATTAGGTCAGAGCTTAAAATAATTCAATCTACTAAGGTTTTCAACAAATTTTTTTACCTTTCCCAACTCTATTATTTTATTTACTCTTCAAAAATGATGGAATCATATTAGAAAAAAGGTTTATCTGAATGGCAAACAGAAATCATTACCCAGGCAGATAAGCCTATAAAGCATTAAAATTTTTCTTAATGCAAAATACAGGGCCTGGTTATGGCACCATCTGCCTATTTGTCTAACGGACATGTACCAGAGAAATGGTCCAAATGAGCTTAATAAACGTCTTTCTTAAATGCACAAAAGACCACATCCTCACTTCCATAATTCTATTAGAGTCTGCTCCTTTGGAGGAGATAAAAGAAGAGATAACCTCTCCATTCAGAATATAAAATAGCAATTGTTCAGCTGATGATTGGAATATTTCCAGTAGAAGGACTTAATTATGGAACAAAATTAGCTCAATCTGACCTTTTTAGAGAATAATACAAAAATTAGGTTTTTTGCAAGTGTCTTCCTGGAATAACTAAAATAAGGAATAATTTACTTCACTTTTTTTACAAGAGCAAAAGGTGGTAGCATATGATAGCAACGTTCTTGCAGAGATGACAATCCAAGGATAATAATAAGACAGCATTTGCAGAGAGGGATAATATATTTTAATAGACTAGCTGATACAGTTTTAAAACAGACAAGCTTTCAGACACACAAGCCCTTTTCAGCAAGAGCAGGTTCACCTCTGTGACTCCAAATTGCTAGCTTAATATCTACATAATGTAATGATCGTGTCATAGAAATGCATAGAAATGCATTGTATCTATACTATTTACATACTAAAAGCTCCTCTTGGGATAAAGACAAAACATATTGATGCAATCGCCGTTGTATCTAAGTGATAAATACGAATAAGCACTTGCACCCACAGACCTTCAGACTGGGTACGATGCTGTGTGTTAATGCTTTTCTCTATGGGTGTTTAGTTAGATGAGTTTATCTGTATTGAAGCACTCCTTGCAAGAAAAAAACACCACACACTGGAAAGAAAAACCTTCTCTGTTTTATCAGTCCTATCTCTGATTTCATGACATTCGGAATGCTGCTAAGCCATGCTGATACTACTGCATACAAGAAAAAAAGGCATGAACAGGTGGTGATATTAACAGGCTTCTTATGGTTCTGAAAAATGAGATAGAAATGTTTCACGTCATGAAAGTCAACATCGATAACCATCCATCTTGTGTAGATATGGAAGTCAGCCAATGTGGTTCTTGCTGAGGAGGCGTGAGATATTTCTTTTGCATCGGAGCTGTTGCTCTGGACACAAGTCATAATTTGTCTAATATAGATGAATGAGGAGAATATTACTAATACTTCCTTTTTTTTTTTTTTAATAATAAACTGAAAGCTCCCCCTTCTGGCACATTTCCTGAACTGAATGTCTACTTTCAGCAACAGGAGACTTTTCCTCTTTTGCTGTCTTTTTAAGATCCTTTTCACAAAGATTCTTTCAAACTGGTGTATTTATAGTTTCCCAAGGGTTTCCCATTTTACCATGAAGCTTCGGGGCTTGATGTGAACTCATTTAACAGCAGGGGGTTGCCTTAAGGCTTTACCTATAATTTTCATCTGTTGCTTTTCCGGGTAAAGACTTACTTGTTTCCCACTTTGCTGCATATTACACAGAGTGTAGAACGCAACTTTTTCAGAAAGTTTGAGTGTTAGCATTTGTTTTGCTTCGGGGCAATCACTGTACCTCAACCACGAGCCGACCATCTATTTTCCTAATAAATGCCTTGGAATCACTTTGAGAAATCTACAGGAGCTTTTTGAACCAATGCTGCACCTCTGCTGAGAGCAGATCCTGTCCAGGCTCGGGGAATCTGCAAGCCAGAGAAAGGGGAAAAAGCAAAAGAGGGACTTGTTTAGGGCACAATTTTGGTAATGGCTGTAACTGCTCTCATCTCATTGCTGCCTGTGTTTCAAGGGCGGCCAGTGTCAATCGTTCCTCTAATCCCTTAAATCGGTGCAGTCACTTATGTGCTTAATATGATGAACTGATTTATCACTGATTTTCCATCATCGTATACTTAGGCAAAGAAAGAGGAAGCCTTTCCTAGCACGCGCAGCCACAGGATCCTGTAGTTCCCATAATTTCCATCCTTTTAATTTTGTCATAGTCACTGGTACCATCCCTCAACTCCAAGCAGGCTGACAAAGGCAGTGAGACTGGTTAGGAAGCTTTCGTTAGATTCACTACCATATATTCAAAGACATGGTGGCTCTGTGTCCTTAAAAACTATTTATGGGGGACAACATTTTAGTGGACCATGAAGACAGGAATGAATGCTTCTGTGCAGGAAGGATTATACTGGGGCCACCCTTTCACATAGGCATGCACACCAGCCATTCTCGCTACACAGAAGAAAACGAGAGTGAAGCAGAGTAAAATAAAATAATATCATATTCATCTCAACTCAGTACTGAGCTGTAAGAGTAAAATGAGAATGAATTAATTTATTGATGACTTCCTTTCTGGGCTTTCCTTGATTATCAAGGTGGTATTTTCTTCTATGGTAGTGATGCTGCTTTGCTTTTCTATTCAGTTAACTAGTAAACGTGGCAGGGTTTCGTTGCAGAATAGCAATTATTTTAAAGTCTGGTGTCAGAGTAACAATTTACTATGGCTACAGTGAATGAAGTATGCCCATTAGACTTGGTACATTAGGTCTGGAAGTGGGAGAATTGCTGGCCTGGCACCTTATGCCACTTTCCAGCTCCCTCTCCATGGTAACAAAAATCAGGATTGACCTACACAAACAAAGCTGATTGCCCTAAACAGAGCATAGCTCAACTATGGAGGCAGAGAGGCCAATTAGCTTTCAATAGAGTTTACAGCAAAGGAGATCTGTTCATATAAATGTCTACACATACGCCAGAATACCAAATGTAAGCTTGCCATTTGAAGTCAAATCAGAATAATAATAAAGTAACAAATGACATGTTCATTAGATACATGGATATAGATACATGCATGCACCCATCTGTATTCTTGTGAAATTTTTTATATATGTATACGCACATACGTATTTCTTTTTAGAAATGTATCAAAACCTGTTTTTATTGTCATAATGAAACAGTAGGACTCCTTTGAGGACCATTTGCCTGAAAAACTGCTGTAAACTTCTTTTGAGTAGGCTGTCTGCACTCAAGAGAGTTAAATCAGCAGAACTTTGACAAGACTAGAAGACCCTCTAATATCTAATTAATGTGGAAATAATTGTTGTAATGGTTGCATTTCTCTACAAAGCGTATAGTGAAAAACAGTTACACTGTCGATTTAGTGAGTATGAAATCAGTTTGATATGCAAATGGAGGTGCTGGGCTACTTCATAATGCTGGTATTATTTAAACATTTGTTTATTGAGCTGAGAAAATTCAAAATGTCAGGAAATGGGATCCAAAAGCAAAGCAACATCTTTCATTAAGAGGGACTTTCTTCAAAGTTTATATTGTCCATCTTTTAGAGCCAGTAGGCTCTAATGAGAAGTGTAACAGCAATGCTAAACACGAGGGTCCTGCTGGGAGTGGTGTCAAACAGTTGTTCCCGCACCTGACACATTCCACCATTTTTCTTCCAGTATGAATAAAAAAGAGCAATTCTTGTGCTCTCTGGATTACTCCTGAGCTCTTATCTTTTTGATGTTAAGGGGTCATGGGAACAGCTTAAGTTGTCTTTATCCATTTAATGTAGATTCAATTAACTCAGGTTAATGACTGTGGGCTGGAGCTCAGGGAGCTGAGAGCTGCTCACATTGTTCAACCTGGCTTGTCCTGTGACATAAGCTGCGTTTATGGGGGGAGAATAAATGAAAAGATAATCTGTTGCTGGGGCACAGTCTACAGAGAAGTGGAACTGTTGCCTCTTAGGTATGCACAAAGCTCATGGCTTCATCCAGGCACAGAAGTGCAATACGCAGTTGTTCAAATCTTTTACAAAGTGACTGCAGCATACCTGTTTGCTAAACCTTTACTCTTAAACTTAATGCAGTCAACATATGAAGTCTTTGGGAGTAATATGTTGTGACCCGTTGAGACTTAGGTGAGTGTTTTGCTTGGTTTGCTTCCTCTTCCCTACGTTAATGTATCATGGCCAAAAGAGTGAATACCAAATAATTTGTTTCAGGAAGAGCACAAAATTGCAAATTGTTGTCCAGTGAATATGGAAAATTATGTAGTTGCATAATATTTAAGGGCATCTACTTTTGAAATCTTACTTAGAAGATTGCAACAGGATTACTCAGAAGAGCACTTGCTTACCCTTTCTTTTTTCATTTATATTCACAGGATTTTTGAGCACTGGGGACCAAGCAGCAAAAGGAAACTATGGCCTCCTTGATCTAATTCAAGCTTTGCGATGGACTAGTGAAAATATTGGGTTCTTTGGTGGTGACCCATTAAGAATAACTGTTTTTGGATCTGGTGCAGGCGGTTCATGCGTCAATCTGTTGACTTTATCCCATTATTCTGAAGGTAACCGTTGGAGCAATTCAACCAAAGGTATTATGCAGGTTGCAAATTTTGACAATTTTGGTGTCTGCATGCCACCGCCATTAGTACTATGTGATGCTCTGTATATTCTCTTTGTTCCTATGAACTCTTGAGTTCAGCTCAATATTAAGCAAACTTTTTAAAGGCTGTACAAGCCACCTGCTCCCTCAGCTCTTCCGTGCATGTTTAAATTTTGGGTCACTTTCTTCTTTTTCCTATGGAGCTTTGTAGAAACACTTTATAGCAGACTTCTGAACAGTATTTTCTCAGTGCATCGTTTGTGTCTCTTTTCTTTCCTACCTAAGGGTGTCCTTTTTGGAAAACCAGTCAGTCATGCTCACAGTAGATGAGGTCGTCTATATTCAGACAGTCATGAAAGGCATGTTTAGTTTCTCACGAGGAGGAGAATTTAAAGAAAACTAAAATGACACAGTTTCTCTTTTCAGGCTTGCAGCTGAAATGCTTAAGACTATTATTTTCTGTGAAGGAAACAAGTACCTAGTTCAGAAATCTTTTGTCTGAAACTGCATGAACTTCACTTGCTGTCATCTAATAAAAGAATGGTTGAATGTTTTGCATGCATGATCCAAAATTGTCAAAGCATCCAAGTTGCAAATGGATTTTCTTCTATATGTTTTTTCCTATTCCATAACTAACACCTTTTCTCTCTAGTTGAGGCAGACAGCAGGAAATTAAAAACATGCTGTTTGAGGCACCCAATTTTTTTTCCTATGATTTTTTGCACCAAAGTTCCACACAGTTTCTCTCATTTGCATGGCTATTGCTCATTGATCACGTTACTTTTGTCTCATTGTTTTCACACATTTTTATCTGTATTGTTTAGTTTTACGAGGGACATCACACTGTGCCCTGTGCATACAGTCCTCCACTGATTTATATTGCTGTATCTCCATGGGGGACTAATTGGCGAGTCATAAAAAAAAAAAAAAACTCCATTGACATTAAAAGAGCTGCATTTACCCAAAGTCATGATGCAGAGCCCACTGAGGTCAACGGAAGTGACAGATTCTTTAGATCAGGCCTTTACTCTATTTTAAATGAGAAAAAAAAATCTAGCTATTACGAGACAGGTCTAGTGGAAAATAGACTGTGGTTTAAATTTTCATCTATTTCCACAATTTGATTTTTAATGTAATTTGTAACCTTTTTTTCCAATGTTCCCTGCAGTTAAATAGGACATATTTATAAACTGGCCTATAAGAAGCTGTAAGCATTAGCTCATTACACTGTAAACTGAGGGTCACACCGCACCGTCTTTTTTCATCAGAACTCATAAAAATAACTTTTGTCACAGAGGATTTACCTTAAGGTTGAATGAGGAGACCTGGTTTCTCCTCTCATAGCTCTTTCTTGATCTTAATCTTGATCTTCCCGATGTAACATGTCCTTAATGTGAAATGCCGCATTTACAATATCTGGACAGTCACGTGTTGCCTCTTATCAGCAAATTTTACCCGGCCAGAATTCTGCCAGGAGCGGAATTTTTTGGGGGAAATTGATTCAGTAATTCACCAACATCGCAGATGAAAGGATTAGGGAGGGAACTGTAGAGAGCTTAAGGATGTATACTTAAAATCCAATCGTAAAAGTAAATTTTTTAGAATTTCTTTTATGAGAAAGCAAAAACATGCTTCATTGAAATTTGGATTAAACAGAACTATGTACCACACCCCCATGTATGTTAAGTTTCATTTGGGGACGGTTAGACCTGCCATTAAAAAGAAGTATTAAAATAAAAATTGGACAACTTCAAATAGAAAAAGTTATTTCAAGTTTTCAAACATTCTCAAATATCTTAACATTTTCAGAAAACCTTTTGTTTCACATTATTAACCAGTCTCTTTCATAAGCTGTAAAATCGGATGCTCTCTTTGCTTCCTTCATTTCCCTTTGAAAGGATCCCTTGGTAGTTGAGAGGAAGCATTCAGCCTATTTCAAGATGGTGCTGTTCATAGCTGCCCATCTGCAAGTGGGCAGAACAGCACCCATCTTTAGAGAGTGCTCTGAAACTGTGGATGAATATATGCAAATTATTATTATTTACTTTGGTGAGACTTTGAATAGGAGTCGCAAAGTGATAGGGTCCGTTGAACATTTAAATCTTCTTTCCATAAGCTGTAATAATCATACACATTATCAGATAAAAAACGTTGTTCTGCATCCTGTGTGGTACTGGTTTCTGCCAGGAATTATGTGACAGAATGAAAATAATTTTTCATGCTGTTGTTTGTTTTTCACCAAATGGTTTGAAAGGAGGAATATTTCCGTAAGCATTCTTCAGCAGAAGGAGGGATGTTTAGTTTCATTTCCGAAGATAACTTTATGGCCAGAGGACTTGACCACTTTTACTTAATTCAACATTTAATGTTTATGTAGCACTTAGCGAGCCATAGTGTTTATATCAGCATTTTCTTAATACGTAGCTTACACTTTCTGTCCTTGTTCGGAGATATTTAATAAAGCAATAAAAATAGATTTACACAATATGCAAAAAAGAAACATTATGAAGTATCATGAAATACATCTTTGTGAAAATTCAGTGTTGTCATTTAGTTACATTTATTACAATGCCTGGATGCTCTGCGGTAATTCCGCTGGCTTTGAGCTGATTTATACTAGCCTAATATCTGACCTTGTAAACATGCAAATATATTTTTACCTCCTTTATAGCTCAAGTTCTTTCTTATTTTTTACTCATATCTTGTAAGGAAATATCTTGGATATGACTTCTCATAAATATAAGGAGAGGCTTGAGTTTACATATTTCAGTCCCTACGCCTATCTGATTTTAAGACTTTTGGATTTGGACCTAATACAGTCTAGAATGATTTTAAAAGTCCTCAGAAGCCTGTAAAATGTTTCCTGCCAGCAACTGATTCCAGCTAACTTCTGAGCGTGGAGGCCCTGGTGCTGCAGCAGAGGCTGTAAAGGCATGTCTCCGGCTTGATTTACAGGCTGTGGAAGTTTTTTATCAACAGAAATATGTTACCTATCAAAGTAAAAGCCATCTTTTGCAATAATGGAATAAAATTCTGAGGTAAGCTGAGCACCCTAACTCCATTTCCTTTAGCTGTTCATCAAGCACTGGACCAAAGATACATTCGTAGCAAAATTGAGTGAGTGAGGCCAGATGTCACTTCCAGTCCCTGAGCACCTCTACCCAAGTCAGTGGAATTACTCAGGTGGCTATGCGCATAAGTAAAACCAAATTTTGACCCATAGATCTTAAATCAGCAGACAGTACGTATGCCATAGACTATTTTGTATTACCCACAGTGAGCTATAGGAGGTAGGATCCCGTATAAAATATTTTCCAGGTATCAGTGCAAAAGACGTGCTACTGAAATGAACTGGATGTACTTCCATGAAAATGCAAAAAACCAGAAATGTCATGCTTACCTAAATATAGTCTAAGTTTCTGATACAGAGATGAGCATTATTTTGTGCAAGGTTCAGACTCAAAGATTCTTTCAGAACCCAAATGACCTTCCCCAAAGGGAGCGGGAAAAGCCACAACACAAGGGGAGCAGAAGAAGTATCGGAACAAGGGTGGAGTTTTGATTGCATTAAAGTCAAGAGTAAAAAAATTTGATTGATTCATTGGCTACAAGGGGGTGAGGCTTTCATCCATTATACGCTCAAAAATACTTACAGAAGGGAGAGGAAAATGTCAATTTAAACATATTTTTTTATTTTTATGAATAGAATTCCTAGTCCAGAGTGCTAGTTAGATCAGCATAAATTCAAATTAATTGCACTGAAGTCTTTGGGATTTGATACAAGTTTATATGCTGTGCCAGATCATACTCACACTCTCTCCTCTAAATGAATACCTGAATATACGTTTAAATCTCTGAATTACAAAGCTAAATAGTGTAAAATATATAATTTCCCATTTTATGTAAGTGTGACCACCATAAACCTTCATTAAAAAAACTCCTTACAAGGAAGGATCTTGACTCTTAGATGCTTATAACTTTAATAGGTACCTTTAATAGTACCTTCTCTTCTCTTACTCTAGAATATAAACTTTTGCTATGATACACAATTCAAAAGCACTGCACCTCTCAAACCTAATTTAATCCCAAACAAAACATAAAAAATAGGTACATTAGTACGCAGTTGTATGCACGCATGCTGCTGATGGCTTGAACAATATCCAGAAATTCAATCCATTTTAGAGACTTGTTGACTTTTCCTCCAACCTATAAATTGCTTTAACTTTAGGAATTTCTTTCAAGCGTCAGCCTACCTAAGGTAACGCCACTTCTTTTTCTTCTTGAGTTTCTTTTGAAAATCTGTTCCTCAGCTGGACTAGATTGAGGTAGAATCATTTGCTTCAATTTCTGCACGTATTGCATTTATTTTGTATACATTACCTGTAGGTACAATGACAGTCAGATCTCACCATCTTGTGTACTTAAGTACTGTTAAGATTCAAGTAGCTCTTCTGTTAAAGTTTTCTATTGTTTCAAAGGTCTCCTTTGAATCTTTCAAGTATGTAGCTGTTTCAAGGTCACTTCAGTACTTTTTTAATATTTCTCCCCACAGGACTTTTTCAAAGAGCAATAGCTCAAAGTGGAACAGCTCTCTCCAGCTGGGCAGTTAGTTTTCAGCCTGCAAAATACGCTAGGATGTTGGCTACAAAAGTTGGTTGCAACATGTCAGACACTGTAGAATTGGTAGAATGTCTGCAGAAGAAGCCTTATAGAGAACTTGTTGACCAGGACATTCAACCAGCAAGATACCATATAGCCTTTGGACCAGTAATCGATGGCGATGTGATACCAGATGATCCTCAGATATTGATGGAACAAGGAGAATTCCTCAATTATGACATCATGTTGGGAGTTAACCAAGGGGAAGGATTAAAATTTGTTGAAAATATTGTGGACAGTGAAGATGGCATATCAGCTAGTGATTTTGACTTTGCAGTTTCTAATTTTGTCGATAACTTATACGGATACCCTGAAGGCAAAGATATATTGAGGGAAACTATTAAATTTATGTACACGGACTGGGCAGATCGACACAATCCTGAGACCAGAAGGAAAACACTGCTGGCTTTGTTTACTGATCACCAGTGGGTTGCACCAGCAGTGGCTACAGCTGATCTTCACTCAAATTTTGGATCGCCTACGTATTTCTATGCCTTCTACCATCATTGCCAGACAGATCAGGTACCTGCCTGGGCAGATGCAGCCCACGGAGATGAGGTTCCTTACGTACTAGGAATCCCCATGATTGGTCCTACTGAATTATTTCCTTGTAATTTCTCCAAAAATGATGTCATGCTAAGTGCGGTGGTGATGACATACTGGACCAACTTTGCAAAAACTGGGTGAGTACCTGATAATGAATACTCTTGTGTACAAACTCAGGATATAAAGATGCAGTGCTTTCCCTTGGCTATCTCCCTTGGGAATGCCTCTGTACTTGCAGGATGAATAAGACGCTAAGAATTGGGTTGCATATTTATGTTTATTGTAATGTCCCGCAGCTCGCTTACACATTCTAGTAAAAGGAGGGAAAAAATATCTTTGCAAACATTCTGTGTGAAGAAATTAAAAAGATATTTTGTACACAAAAATAATTAAGGGATCCCCAGAAAAGTGCAAAATTAAGCATTTAACATATGTGTATAGTTAAAAATGGTTGTATGAGTAACTGACTTTACCCCAGCACTGATAATATTTTCATCCTAGGAGATAGGAAATGACATAAATATTGCATCAAATATGATAGAGCTTATTTTAATAATGTATTGTGTTTTACATTGACACTTCTGACCATAAAATATGTGACTTTAAACTTGAAAAAATGTTGTCATTTTCATTAATTCTGCTTTCACTGGTAGTTCAAAACACTCTTCTGCCTTCGGCCATTGGACTGTAAGTCACTACGTGTTATACTGATTTATGCCCTGCCGTGGTCTTTCACCTCTGAAGGCCACAGATACTGCATGTGAACTGAAATGTTGACCTCCGTGAGCTTTATGTTACTGAAAATGAAAAGTAAAGCTTAGTGTCCTCCCACACTGGTCTCTCATAGACATTTGTCCATGTTACCACGTTGCTGGCAATCTGTCCTCAGCAGCAAGAGATCTCAGCGAGAGAGATGCTAGCGTTTGGGGGAAGTTGCTGAAGTCTAAGTAAAAGAAGGGTTCGTTTGCATAATGCTGTTTCTAATCAAGGTTATTAAGGCCTCTAATTTTAGGAAATAGCATTCTGCTCTGTCCAAAGGCAGGCTTAAACATTACGTATAAAATCTTAATTATGTTAATTTTATAATTCCTTTTGAAATACTTTGTAACATTGGAGATTTTTTTTTTTAGTGACCCAAATCAACCAGTGCCGCAAGATACAAAATTCATCCATACGAAACCAAATCGTTTTGAAGAAGTAGCATGGACCAGATATTCTCAGAAAGACCAACTGTATCTTCACATTGGATTAAAACCACGAGTTAAAGAACATTATAGGGCCAATAAAGTGAACCTTTGGTTGGAACTGGTACCTCATCTGCACAATCTTAACGACATTTCACAGTATACCTCTACCACAACTAAAGTGCCATCAACTGATAATACTTTCAGACCAACAAGGAAAAATTCTGTTTCTGTTACTTCAGCCTTTCCTACAGCCAAACAAGACGATCCCAAACAACAGCCAAGCCCGTTTTCAGTGGATCAAAGGGACTATTCAACAGAATTGAGTGTCACTATTGCAGTTGGTGCATCTTTGCTGTTCCTGAACATTTTGGCCTTTGCAGCATTGTACTACAAAAAAGACAAGCGGAGACATGATGTTCATAGGAGATGTAGCCCACAACGTACTACTACCAATGATCTTACCCATGCACAAGAAGAGGAGATAATGTCCCTCCAAATGAAGCACACTGACTTGGATCATGAATGTGAGTCCATCCATCCACATGAGGTGGTTCTTAGGACCGCCTGTCCCCCAGACTACACGCTAGCTATGAGAAGGTCTCCTGATGATATTCCCTTAATGACACCCAACACCATCACAATGATCCCCAACACTATACCAGGGATTCAACCCCTACACACATTCAATACATTTACTGGAGGACAGAACAATACTCTGCCCCATCCTCATCCCCACCCCCATTCACACTCAACAACCAGGGTATAGCCAGACAAGATGAAACAAACTTTATTTTTTGATGGATTACAGTAGGTGATATTACTGAAGATTACTTGGCTTTCAACCTACAAGACTCTTACTATTTAAATATGGAGGAATATTATGTGAATATACATATCAAGAACTTTTGGGGTTTTGAAAAAAATGAATTGTACATATATCAAATGAACTTAAGAAACAAACAAAACAAAACAAAAAACAAAAAAACCCAACTGTTTGCAATTGCTTGAAGCAGTTGTCCTGAATGATACTTTTTCATTCACATTCAAGTATTAATTTTTTGAAGATTTAAGTTACATAATGGAATTAGGCATGTGCAACACAAACAGGAAAGAACTATGACTGAAAATTTTAAAAACCTATAAATATGCACAAGGGACACACTAATGGAATGTCAGATAATTTTCACCAATTTTTATTTGGACCTGTTTTCTTGTGTAGACCATATTTACATATTTGAATAAGTACACAAAGCACCAATGCTGTTAAGGCCTTAGAAAGGGGCTCATGCTGAAATCTGCCAGTCAAAGAAGTTTTACAGCCTGGCAGGTACAACATTATCACATAAGTGCTGTCAGTATAAAGTTGTGGGAATAAAGGAAACTGGATATTTTTAGCACGATGTGCATGATAATTTATATGCTTGGTGGCTGTGCTGCTGATTAAGCCGTAATTAAAATTCTTATCATCCCATTGGAGTTTTTAATAGAAGCTTTCTCCATCAATTGGCACAACCTAAAGAAGTTTTTTAAAGGGGCAAAAGTAATTACAGTAAAATATTTCAGTTTAGCTTCAGAAAAGGAAGGAATTGCAACGGTTCTTAAAGGTTTTTATGGCATTCTAGGTATACAGCGGTGAACCCTCGCTGATATGAATCCCAGACAAAAAAAATCTGTATTATTAATGTTGTTCTTCCTTTCCACCTAAATAATTTCTAACTTTAACATAACTATAACTTTAATGGAACGTCCTTTGATGAAGGATCTATAATCTGCTGTGATTTAGTTACGATTTATTTAGTTCAAATTGGTAAGGTAAAGTGTGTCCAAAAATTTAATTGCGGTGATATTTTGCAATATGAAAATGCCCCACTATTACTGCTCTGATTACACCTTTCAGTTTATTGTTTAAACTCATGTTGCATGTTACAAAGTTTACTTATAATACTTTAATAAAAAGTTAATTCCCTTTTTGCTATACGTTAGCTTTGCCATTCAAATGAATTCTCTAGACCAGATGGCAACAGTGTAGAAAAAGAGGGTATGTAAGAACGGGCAGAGAGCAAACAACTGGAAATTTTAAAATCTGAATACTACATATGTTTGTGTGATTTGCAATGAATGTTCTAAAATCACAAGAAATTTTCCATTCCCCTGTTGCTTTCCAGTAATTATATACCATGGTCCTTTCAAAATGTTTGTATATGTAATCAGATGTACATTTATATAAAAGAAATAATTGAGATGGACTTAAGAGCACATCCCTGATAAATACTTTCTCTCTTACCTGTACTATATTTCTATTAGACTAAAGTTATGTGATTTTTTTTTACATTTTTTCAAATTACTAGCAATTTTGATAGTTTGTAAGATAATGCGAAGAACTTTCTCTGACAAACTAACTGCAGTAACAGAAACATTTCTTTTCAGTTACTCTTTTTCAAGAATGAAAGCTTATTACACACAAAAATTGTATACTACTTGATGGAAAATTACTTTGTACTTCTTGGCCATATTACTGGTCACTGAGTGAAATAAAGATAATCTGGATAACGAATATTATTCCAATGCTAAGAGACCTGATCTTTGCTCATTAAAGAGCTAAAATGTTTATTGCTGTTTTGTCATTTTTTAATGAAGTAATGGTAACTGTCTCAAATAAAGAGTAATATCTTAAGACCAGTCTGGTTTTTGAAGACATGAACATGCCTTCTACAACTAATACAACTGCATATTTATGGGCCAGTCCCATCTACAGCCATTTCTTACAGAAATACTGACATTGTGACTGTATGATGTCATAGTACTACACGCAAATCTCCCCTAGCTTTCAGGAATGGGTTAAAAATGCAAATATTAGCGCCAAAAAAAAAGCCAAGGAACAGGCCTAATTGAAATAAATCTGCAGTATTCCGTGACAGGAAAAAAAATTACCTGGGTTTTATTTGGGTGATTGAACTTTCTTAAACGCTTGCTAGGAAGTTCAAAGTGTGTTTGCTAACATCAAGCACAAATGTTAAAACTGAAGCTGAAAGTGAAATAAAGTACTGCAATTTCAGTCATTTTATTTAGCTATTAAAAACAAACAAGCAAAAGAAATCGATATGTTTAATCAGTGCGTGTTCCAGTCCCCACTTTTAAATTAAGCTCTTTTGGTAGAAGCGTTAAAAAAGAGTCTTCAAAATCCAGGGCGGTCTGTGTGCAATTTCTGCCTGATGTGGTTGTGCTTTTAGACTGTGACCTGCCAATGTAAACCAATAAAAAGAATTGTCTGCCATCTGATAATTATTGTTTAATAGGAAGATTGTATTTTGCTATGTTGATGAAACAAAGAAAAAAATACAAAAATATTGATGGCCATAAAACAAGATATTCATGAAATATGATTTTATGTGCTTTTCTTAACTTTATCAAAACCAAAATAACTTTCTACTATAGTTTATTTGTGGCCATATATCTATATATCTCTATATATACAGTATCTGGTAATTGTTTACTTTTATTAGTTACAAAATAAATGATTTAGGTAAACCAAGCATGACACTACACTTTATTTCTGTCAGCCAACAGTATTTAAAATGTGAAAGATGAAGGCAACAACACAAATTTTATCACTCCTGTTTGAAAAAAAAAAAGAAAAGAAAAGAAAAAAAAAAGTCCATTCCTGTGATGCAGATACTGTGAACGATATTTTAGTGGCTACTTTATAATTCCATTACAGCAGCTGGCTTTCCAGAAGTAAGATGGTGTCCCACGTTTTAACACAACATTAAGAAAGACCAAGAAATGTTTTAAAGTTGAAAGAAAATAAAAATATAGGAAATGGTTTTGGAATATCTTCATTATGCTTCATGGAATATCAGTTTGTTCTTTTTAAAATATTTACATTTGATTTGTTTTCCACGGTAGCCTACAAGAAAGCAAAACTGAGTGTGGTATTTAATTTCTTGTATCATCCTTGGACCAGATTTCCAATAAAATTAGGATATCAGTCAGTCTTTGGAAGTTCAGTTAAAATATAAAAAGCCTGCATTTATTGCTTTCACACTTTTGTAAATATGTTTGCAGACCTTTTTAAGAAAATGTATTCTACCATTTTGAGAAAAAAATAACAATGGAATCATTGTCTCGTTTATCTATTAAAATTACAGGCAATATAATGTGCTGTGCTGACATTTCTAGGAGAAATAAAGCAGATGAAAACGCATTTTGCTCGATGGTATCTCAGTTGGTTATACGTGGTATTCTCCACCCACTGAAGACTTGCAGGGCATGGATGAACTACCGGAATATAATGTTCCATAGGAAAATGTAGTTGTTGTTTTCGTTGTCTGTACTAAACATGGATTCCTATGTCACAAGCCTTTAGTTATTGGATATTTTGGTTATTGAAACACCCTGAAAACACAACGAATAATCTAACAAATAAGGATGTTACAGATTTAGAGACACCATTGCACAGAAAATACTGGCATTTCTGTTGCCAACTTCACTAAGAGATGAAACAGCTGAATTCATAGGAAGCTCTCAAACATCATGGCATTCCTCTGATGTTTGTAAGTTGTTGTTTTTTTCCTGTGGTGTTAGTTTAAAATATTGGCCTTTCCCCCCCCGCTTTTTTCTAGTAGTGAACTGTTACAGATGATCGCTTTTTAATGTAAGCGAACATTAGATAATTTAATTATTGTGAAAATGTGCTCCCAAATAAATTAGATTAATGGGAAATTCCCTGCAGAGGTTTTGTTATTTTTCATTCAAAGCTCTTGTCAAAATATCTGTTGCAGCAGTTCTGCTTTTTTTTTTTTTTTTCCAGTCTGTAAGCTAAGGGACTTTCTCCAAATAACATTAAAAATCTCTTTTTCTATTTGAAATAATAACACTATAAGATTACGATGTCCTTCTGAGGCCTCCAAATAAACACGAACAATTTGAAACATGGCGAACGGGCTTTTACTCTAAGCATTCTAATTTGATTTAATTCTGGCACATCGATACATTTGTATGCAGACTAGAAATTAGTGGTATTTGATACAGCGTTCAAGAGAACTACGCAGCAGAATCAATGAGTTAACCACCAGCCTTGCGCAAACTCTCTTTTCTCTTAGGTTCTGTTAATGCTATTGTATAATTGATTTCTTATTTACAGATTCAGTAAAAGCTTCACTTTGTGAAATGGGAAATGGTTAGAACAAGGTAATGAACTTTATCTGGTGGAAAATGTTTAGGAAAAAAATGTTAAGAATCACCTAGGAAGCACAGATTTTTACGTGCAACCTGGCTTCATTGCTTTTTGTTGGTATTATAATTCTCAGTAATTCATACACACGCAAAACTATCATTTCTTTAATAAGCTTTAGTTGCTAAAAGGAATTTAAGTATTATATGTAAATGGTGGATTAAAGCCTATTCTGAGTTTAGCTTCCCTTGCTAGTGGGATGAATGAAAAACCTCGTAGAAGTGCAACAAATTTGTACAAGAAATTTTCATACGGTATCTTGAAATGCGTATTCTTTTCATCTTAAGATAAAAGTACCACCACAGCAGTAAAAGCCGTTGTATTCGTTTGTCACAGAAAATGCCTTCTTGTATATATATATGCATCTTTCTCTCCACGTCCATACTCACATGCACTACTCCAGTCAATAGAGGAGACTTCAAAACCATGAATAAACATGGAATTTTACCTTTTTGCACCATGCGGAGTCAATTCAAAGTTAAATGCAAGTGCTCAGTGTGGAGATAACACCGATACCTCATTCTGCATTCTCCACTGCTATTGACCAGATGCTGAGCTGATGACTATTTTTTAGCACCAGCTGAATTAGTATTTATCATAGGACCATTGAAATCAATGAAGCCCCGACAATTTACACCAGCTATCGATCTGCTTCCGGACCTTTAATGTTCATCATGGCTCATCTCACCTTCCAGTTCTGCATATCTTCTCACGCACATGAACACCCACTCACAGAAATTATTACGAGTATAACTACCTGATATATGAGCACTACCAGGCACTAAAACGTGCTTTAAAATATGCTTATAGTTATTTGTATGTACGGCCAAAATTCAGAAAAAAGAGTCTTCTACATAAAAATAAAATAATAAATCCATGGTAATTACTCTGATACAAAGAAAAAGTTTGTACCACAGATTGCAGCCTTAACATGCTACAGTAAGTTTTATGTTAAAATCTTCTTAAAAAGGAATGTTCGGTTCTGTCTGATCCTCAAATCTACATGTTGACCTACATGTCAAAGACACAATGAGACTTTACAGCAGTTGTAAGCCTGCTCTGCTCTGCTTCGTTCCGGATGGAAGAGGCATACAACCGAGCCACAGGATTGCTGTAAATTCAGGACAGAAATAGCTGGATTTTCTCTGTCATCTGCATTTTCCCTCTCAGTGTCAGCAACGCCAAGTGCTCAGCATTTATGAGCTTAGCTTTAGAATGATGCCATTTAAAAAAAAAAAAAAAATGTGGAGTTCTTAAGTCTATAGGCTTGGGCAGTTAGTATTCAGGTTTTCTGCTCTACAGCTGTAAGAGCCAGTCACTTTTTTTTCAACCCAAGTTGATGATACTGGCAAGCAGAGCTGATGATAATACTAGAGCTCAATTAACAAGAGGTTCATGAAAGACTGTATGAGCTGATAACACTTTAACTGTATTATTTAAGAAAAAAGGAAAAAAAGGACAAATTTTACATCTAGTCATTTTGTTCAGTTGCTGTGGAAGCTAATGAGAATTTCACTGTTGACTTTGCTGAAAGCAGCATCAGTTCAGAAATCTGTATGAACCTCTGTGAGGTCTATATAAAAGTTAAACAGCTATGGCCGTGGCTTCTAAGAGTCTTTGGATGTCTTTTTGGATCAGTTATTTATCCATCCGTATTTCTGCAAAGAAAAGCATGCATGTTCAGGTATTCACACTCGGTGGCCGAATACAGATAGGTTCTTCCCAGAAAGACACATCACCATAATACTGCAACATCAGCTAATATTCCTTATTTTTCAGTGGGTTTTGTGAGCTTGGTCTCAACACTGGGTCAGCACGTGCTTGTATCTCATGGGCGCGAAGGACAGAAGAAGAAAATTTGGGACTTCAAAGCAGTCATTGGCCAGACCCAGTGCAATATACTCGATATAAATTTTCCCTAAGGAGGGAGGTTGGGAGAGTGAGATGTATGAGGTACCTATTTCATCCATTAATTAGTAGAAACAAATTCAGCAGTAATTTAAAGCAATTAAGACTATACAAAAGGATCTAAAAATAATATATGGTTCATTTGTCACCAAATACATTTTTAGAAGTCATGCAATATTTTACTGATTGATGATAAAGATATGGTTGTACAGTGTTGGGTTTTTTTCTACCTTTCACAAGGTAACTCCTATGTAGTGGTAAAATTTGGCTAAGCAGATGAATAAATTTTGCTCTCATTTGCATACAGGTAAGTCTAGAGCAATTTCATGAAGCTGGAAAGATGGACCTTCAGTGAAAAAGGTAAGTAACAACCAAAACAAATTACTTTTGGACAGCTAGTAGAGATTCCCATG